GGAAGACTCGGAGAATAGTGCTCAAGAGGAGACAGCTACGGTCATCCGCGACAGTGTAGTAAACATTCGAGACCTACCTACTCCCGTACATCTTAGTCATCTTCGTTCAAATCCCGCGCGTAATCTTTTGCAAAATAGTTAGTCTGTACTCATATTGGTGGCTCATCAATCGGAAATTAAACAAAAAAGGGCTAGGGACCCACTGGAGGAGCAGAAGGCCTTGCACTAGGGTCACGACAGTTCGAGCGTCGTATCCGACAATTCCCACCGTGTATCCCGCAAAAATTCGGCGCAGGGAGGAGGAGTACTACGATAATTAGATTATATCGAGAGTAGAATTGTGCTGTATCTATCGCACTCTTCCGCTTGGGTTCAGTGTAATGACCAAGTCACTAAGGCTAGAAGCGAGAGAGGGCGCAGGTGGCTGGCAAGACCGAAACCGCCCTTAGACGTCATACTGAAGTAGCATAGACGTGTGTCTGAGTCCTTGGCTGATGTGCGTATTTTGTAAAATAACCGACATACATATACTACATTCGCCTGGAAGCGGAAATGCTCCAGAGTCGACCTAAATAAAATCCCATTGCCCGTGAATCTGGGGGTTGTGCACTGTCGACCAAACTGGATAATTGGGAATAAATGCAGGAAATGTATAGGTTTCCGACATCAAGGAGTATAAATACTACTGGAAAAGTGCATGTGAGTGGCAGATGACAATAGTTATATCGAAAGCAATATTAATGCGCAATATATGCAGATATATTTGACGTAGAACAAGAAAAGTTTAAAGAACCCAAAGATATCTGCAAGTGGGAATGGGAAAAGTGCAGATGATTGATTTGCCCTAACGTAAAATTCCGGGAAATGAAGCATGTCCAATAGTGCGGACAACAGAACAGATTAACTGATAGCTGTCCAAAACGGTTCGAATTTGTTGTGCGATGTTGGGATACTAGCTCACATTCAAGTGGTCTGTTAGGGCTTTGTACTAGTGAGCATCTGTACAAAGAACTGTGGATTCTGCCACACGCACTCTCAAGGAGTCATTAGTCACAATAAGATAATTTACAAGGTACTTTTAAAAGTGCAATTGCAAGCCGGCAAGAATATGGTCAGCCTATACCTTTGTAACTCATATTACATGTCCTTTGGAAAGACTAGAAGTCTCACAGTGATCTTAAGTCTTCACTCGAGCTCCTTATTCGGTTTAAGTACCGAGGAAGAGGAAAACATGATTTAACAGTCTGATTTTAAGACTTACAGCGTATATTGGACGAAAAGTTAATTTATCTCAAAAGCTCGAGTTGCGAGACACACTGTCTGAGAAGGAAGGAAAAGGGCTTAGGCTCGCATATAGTTCAGTTTTTCCCTTCTAGCACCCTCCGAGCGCAAGAAATGTGAAGCAAGTAATGATGAAAGACACACACACACACACGCACAGGGGAGTTGACAAGGCTAACAAATGGGCATTTTCTGATTTGACGTAAAAGTAACTGCGATTTTGTGACTGAGCTGGGAAGGATAGCCAGGCCGCTCAACTTCTCGACTAACTAACAAAAGTAACGAGAAGGCAGTCTGTATAAGGTCCCCATACATACATACCAAGATCAGGACCTATCTAATAGGAGCCACCGTAACTTGCTTTGATCTGATTTCATTGGAAAAACTAGTTCACCATACATAGTGCAGAAGTTCAGTTAAATACATTTAAGGTGAAATTGCCATAATTGTGAAACCATAAAAGTCCTGACGGGTAGAATAAAGAGTATTGGCAAGGGATAATTATAGCGCTCTCCGCAGGACATCTTTTGAATTTCGTTCCTTTCTCTGGAGAAATACTATCACAGGCAGCGGCCAATTAGGGTAATTTTAAAAGGTCTCTTTCTCCATACGAACTTATAATTACACTAAAATATGCCCCTGCTCTCATCCTTATCTGTCGCTTACAGAGTAACAAAGTTATTCCGGGCAGGCATGTACTGCATAAGTCAAGCGCACTCGAGCTACTAAGGATGACTTATGTGGTAAGCTAAATAGGGCGTGAGAACAGGAACAGCCCACAATACGTTCGTCAAATTCTAGGGTAAATAGAGTTACGTTTATGGGTAGAAAAAGGGGTAAACTTTAGGTCAGCGTTCAGGAAAATCAGGGAACGTGGTAACTGTCACATTAGGGTTTGAAGTGGGACTAGAGTTAAGCTTAGAACTAAGGTTTAGGTCTATACTAGAGCTAGAGTTGGGACAGGGCAGTATTTAACCTTTCTGGAATTAAGCGCAGTCACTATTATTACTTGGCCGAGGCGTTACTTTTCCAGTGTAAGGGAGCCATATAAGAAACGCTTAAAGTTCTTTTATACAGAACTTTATTGTAGATGTGATCTCAAAATTTAAAAGGATTGAGGATTACGGAGATACATGGCTCGTAGTCACTACTAGATCAGAAGAGTAAATATCTCTTTAAGTTACGTCTGACACTCGATAGCTAGTGAAATAACTTGCCTCCCTGTCTCGTGGACGTAACAGTGTCCGCATTTTTCATATAAAAATACTTAAAAAACAAG